CCTTCTTCTTCTTCTTCTTCTTCTTCTTCTTCTTCTTCTGGGACGGGGTTATCGTTGCTGCCATAGTTCCGTCGCTGGAGCGAAGGGATATGTAACAGTACGTTTGACCAATCTTGTTATCCAACCTATTGTGCGGGGGATTAAAGAGTTATCTGTATGGTTAGTTTAGATCTGTTCAAAGTTTCCCATGCCTGTGTTTCGTTGTGAAAATGTCCGCTGTCGACTACTGGAACCATATCACGTAGAAGTCAAATAAATGCATCTCGGCTTGGTTTCCCGTCTGGCAAGTGTACTCTGACCACTCTGTCGTGTCCCAATAATTTCACGCTGACAAGGCTATAATCGCTGGACAGATTAGGCTAATAATGATTTTATCATTGTGGTAGGGACATTGCCGCTTCAACACAAGCGGGTTAACGAAGATTGATAATGATGAGGAAGGGGAGGAGGATGAGAAAGAAGAGGAAGAAGGGGGAAGGGAGGAGAAGGATGGATACTTCATCGATGTTGATACGAGTCATGAAAAAATAGGAGGACAACTAGCTTGATTTAGAGCTACTGGAGGAAAAGGGTTGGGGGGGGGGGGGGGGGGGGGGGGGGGGGGGGTGAAGGAGGTATTCATTTGGGTAGTTAAGATCTGTTCAAAGTTCCCCATTAAAAAAATATTATTTTATGTAGCTCTGTTATCTAGATATGGAGACAAAAAGCCGTGATCTAACAAGTGTTCTTCAGCACACAAAAGACGTTAATTCGAATTTCAACAGGGGAAGAACATTTCTTGTTTTCTGAAAAGTCGAATCCGATTCAGCCCTCCAGGGGAATCACAATCAAAAAGGATTAAGAATTTACAAAAAGGGTTAAGGAATTTACAGTAACAAGGATGTTGACTCTCCTATTTCATTAGTTTCTCCTCCAACATTACAAAGTTACATGTCTTCTAAGAGTAAATCCTATTATGTTCTTTTAGATGAACCTTTCTCAAAATGCGACTTCGTTTATTTCAATCGCAGTTTCCTCTTCCTCCAACACAATAACAATAACAACTTACAATAACAAGGATGTTGCCACTCCAATTTCACTAGTTTCCCCTCCATCATTACACAGTTATATTTCTTGTAAAAGAGAATCCCAACCTGTTTTTTCTTTTTTAAATGCTGTTTTGTTTTATTTCGATGGCAGTTTCCTCCAACACATCGGGCGGATCTGCAGCGCGGATTACGTTGCCAGTATTCAGGACATCATGTACATCTGCTGGCCCACCCTGGGTATACAAGAACATACTTTCCGGGTGGATCAACTTCTGTACAGGTCAGTGGATTGTGTTGCTTTTCAGGCCCTACTTCGATACAGTATAATATGATCGTCACTGTAATTCTACAATAACCCAAATCATTTTCTGGGAGCTTTTAGATTAACACAGGAAAGGGTTTCTTACAATACCGTTTCCTTTTATCTCATTATTTCATTCCTAGCTTTTGACTGAAAATTAACGAGCACGCAAGTCATGGTTCTGATTTGGGCACTACAAGAAGAAAAAAATGAATGAATATGATGCTTTTAGACAACGGTTACTAGGATGCTGACCGAAGATGTTGAGCGTTAAGTTTCTAATTGTGTGTAATATCATGTCCAGTGTATTGCTCTGTTGCTTTTATTAATTCATACCAAGGGACCAGGGTGTTACAATGTAGAAAGATTTTTTTCGGGGGTGGATTGTCAGCTGATGTCATGATTTATTGAGTAATCGAATACACGTCTTAGATTTTTCGTTCTTGCCTTTTGCACAGCAAGATCAGGGTGTTGTGATTATGTGTCATCCTTGTATCATGTATTATGTACGTGATGTTCTTGATGATTCCTGCCTGCTAGTAGCACTTGGGAGAATAGGCATATTGTTTATTACACATTTTTTACTTCAATAAATATTTGTCTTTGGCAAATGATTTTGACATCAGCATGACTAAGATTTATGTATAAATCTTTGACAATGCAGTCTGGTTTGTGATAAGAAAAACAAAAACAAATTTGAAACATCACTTCCATTCTTTTTTTATTTTTACTGAATAGAGTGGGTGTGGGCGGGTGCTCTGATGTGGTTTTCTCCTTCTTTTCTGTCAAACGTCTATCGTACTTCTCTCTCCTCTCTCTTTTTCTTTGCATATTACTCTCTCGTAACATCTTTAATCTTCGACACGTGTATGACCTACTGGAATTGCAAGTGTCGTTAAACTCTAACTAACAGTCTAAACATTACAACAGAGAACAGGTTTTGGTCACAAGAACGTAGGCCTATCTTTGTCCATTTACAGAATGGTGGATGTCGCTGGCCAGCGGAGCATGAGGAAGAAATGGATTCACTTTTTTGAGGAAGCTGTAGCTGTGCTTTTCTTTGTCTCTTTAGCAAGTTATGACGAGCCTTTAGAGGAGGACACCAGCGTGGTATGATCGAGCTCTCTCTCTCTCTCTCTCTCTCTCTCTCTCTCTCTCTCTCTCTCTCTCTCTCTCTCTCT